CCCGAAGAACCCGTTTTGCAAGGTGTGTTCAATCTCAAAGACCACTTCCGCAAGGGTAGCGCACAAAAAGGATGCTAGATCAGACGACAAAGTCGATGTCCCAACCGCACCATTTCAACAGTTGGCTACCGATTCCGTGATTCTTGCCATGGGCGATGAACATCTCGGAGTAGGTTTCGGTGGAATCAAATCTCACCATGTAGTACGTGATGTTTTCTCAGGCGTTCGACTTGCCTACCCTGTGAGTAGGCGGGACACGCAAGCGCATGTCAAAAACTTCCGTCAGTTCATCGGCCTTCGGGCCACTGATTCGCCGCCAACGTGTCTAGTAAAAATGGATGCAGCAGGAGAGCTCGAAGGAGCGGCCCACGAAGTCGGTCTCGTCCCCGAGACAAGCTTACCGAACAGGTGGCCACACAACACCGTTCTGGAGCGCGACATTCGCGAAGAGAAGGAATGCTGCCGCAGCATCCACATGCAATCAGGGTTGCCCTATTCGTTGCATACGTTTAGTTACCCATTTGCATGTCTCTCCATGTCGTTCGACAGGCCTGCACCATTCAGCCCAGGGAAAACCCAATGGGAAGCCCTCACCAAGGAAAAGTTCCAAGGTAAGAGATGCTGTTTCGGGCAATTGGTTTGGTACAGGACCAAGACTCCTGGCAAGCTCACTCTCGATCCGAACATGGCGCCTGCGCTCTTTTTGGGTTGGAGGGTCGATCCGGGGTTGCGGTACCGTAACGTGGTCAAAGTCATGGACTATGAAGCCTTCCGTAAAGATGGTTCCATTTCCGTTCACGATGTTCCTGAACCGGAATTGTTCGTTGAAGACGGACCCCCAAGCTTTCCGATTGCAGCAGCAGCAGATAGAGCATTGCATGGTGGCAAGACAGAAGGGTCTGATCCCCCACCTATGCCCCTGCGAGAGGCGCCCTTTGGTGCCCCACCGACTCCATCCGCTGTCAAGTCAAAATCCGTGTACATAACTGTTGAGAGGATCATCAAGTTCAAGGAAACGCCAGGTTGCCGTGCATGCACCGGTCATTCCAAGATTCACAGTGCCGAATGCAAGAAGAGGTTCTCCGAACTTGTTTCTGCAGATCGAGCTGAAGCAGCTGCAAAAAGCGCTGCCAAAACTGAATCTAAGGAACCCATTCCCATTGTTCATACTGAAGGGGATGAGGAGCTAGCTAGAGCAATCCACGCATCCGAGCATGGAGAGGATCCTAAGCCCGCAGTTAGTGCAGAAGATGTTGCGCATGAATTTGATGCAGCCGAAGCTGGGGAGCCCGCTCCCTCAAGACCCGGTGGCTCATTTTTCGATACCGCGCCAGCGACAGCCGCTACATCGCAAGGTGAAGATTTTTGGGTGTTCAAAGAAAATGCCAACTGTTTGGTTCGATACCATATCATGCCAAGGCAAAATCTCTTTACCCCAAAAGAGGTCGAGGATTGCCCCGTTTCCCCAGAAAGATTTACTGCAGCTCGCACCACTCGTGCCGTGTTTCAGGGGGGCAAAGCAGACAACATCCATGATGGTTGGTTTGGTAGCCGACCCAATCGCTCACTTGGAGATGCATGGACCGGGTTCACAGTGTTCAAGTTAAAACCCATTCAGTCCGATTGTGTTATCACCACAGGTGCAGCCGTGATGTTAGACTCCGTACCGCCGACACCTCTCACCGATGCATCAAAGAACGGTCGTCCGAACACATTGCCAATTTTCGGCATGCCATGCAGCGCAGAGGTTGAAGCTCCACAGCGCAAGCAGTTTGAGGTTGGAAATCATCGTGCCCGCAAGAAACAGGCGCGTATTGACAAGTTGCCTGTGATGTTCGAATACGCATGTTCACCAGAGTCCAATATGGGTCGCGTGTTTGAAGGTCTTGGCATACCTCATGTTAGGCTGGCTAAAGAGTTTATCGACCTCAGCACAGATGAAGGAGAAATCCAGTTGCAGTCGCAGATTGAAGGTTGTGATAAACCCAACCTCTGGGCCGCAATCCCCTGTACATCAGGTTCAGCATGGCAACGCCTTAATAAGGCCAAGTTAGGAAGCCAGTTCAAAAAGAAACTGAAGCAAAAAGTTAAAGAGTCGAGAGAGTTGTTCTCCAGATTCAGACGTCACGCAGAGACTGTCCTCCATCAGGGGGGTAGTGTTTCGTTTGAGTGGCCAAGGGATTGCGACAGCTGGGCTAGGGATGATGTTTCCGCATTCTTTAGAGAATATGCACACGTCTTCACCCCAGCGACCTTCCATGGTTGCGCCCTAGGCCTGAAGGACAGCAATGGCTATCCCATCAAGAAGCCATGGAAAGTCATGACCAGCAATAGCACACTCGCATCCGCACTAGGTGCATTCAAGTGTCCGCACGAAAAAGGGTATAAACATTCGCTTGCAGCAGGTAACAAGACCGCAAAGACCGCTTTCTACCCCGAAGGCATGTGTCTCACAGTTGCCCGTGCGCTGTATCCGACAGTTCAACCCGTTGTGCCTGCGATGCCTGTCCAAGTGCCATTGCCTCTCGATCACCGGGAACGTGAACAGCAGTTGAAGCACATATCCCCTCTCTCCGGTTTGGAAGATATAGGTGTTGCTGTTGAGTCAGATGAAAAGTGTCACAACATTCTTGAGCAAGTTCTTGATGTTGAAAATCTCATCGCACATTCCCTAGGACAAGTCAAAGAGAAGAAGGATCCTGAGATCACCGCAATGGTGACCAGACTCTTGTCACGTGCCGAAATGTTGGCTTCCCCGGAAGCTCTTGAAGCCGTTCGACTTGAAGCCACAGGCCTGGAGAAAGCCGGTGCTTGGGATCTAAATTCAGTCCGAGAGTATGATCAAGTCGCTGCTGAGGCGCGACGATCCAGTATAAAAGTCCATTTCGGGCAGTTGATGTCGCTAGCATCCGTCAAGTTCGCCGAACTCGCGAAACACCTTCAGAAGATGAAAGGTAGGATTGTGTATCGCGGAGACTGTGCGAAAGACGAACATGGCGCAGCAGCTGTCTACCAAGAGTTGGGAGCAAATCCCACGAGCGTACAAGGTCTTAATAACTGTCTCGCTTATGGATCCCTGCCAGGGAATTCCACCACAACAGCGGACGCTATAAAGGCTTATGTGCAAGCACTGCTGAAGTCCAAGTACCAAACTTGGATCACACTCCCGCCTGAGCTCCGGCCAAGGTGGTGGCGCGAGCGTTTCGTGAAACCTGTGGTTTTGCTCGTTAAAGCTCTTTATGGGCATCCTGACGCTGGCGGACTCTGGGAGGCACACCTCAAAGGGTTCATTAGTGAACTTGGAGGGCGTGAGGTCGCAGAGTTTCCTGGAAACTTCTGGTTCAAGGAGTCCGGGTTACTTCTCTCGACATACGTCGACGACTTGACGTTGGCCGGCCCCAGCCACCTTCATAAAGACTTCTGGGAAAAGTTAACAAGACTGGTTGATATAGAACCCCCAGAAGACATATACCGGGTGCTAGGCAGGAATCACCTTTTGATAGATGCTCCAAAGGACCCAACTGAACCCGATCTTAATGCCGCAATGGGCAGATTGAAAGGGGGCATGGCGTTCGACATGCGGGATTATGCCCGTCAAACGGTGGCATTATATCTTGAGGTTGCACAGCTGAAAAGTGAAAAGCTGCGCGATGCCACCACTCCATTCTGTCCCGCTGGATCCCTTGATCCTGCAGATGACGCCTTGGAGGGTGAGCTCGGCTTCGCCGCTTGCCGCGTGTTGATGAAAGCCTTATGGCTCGGCCGTTTGGCACGCCCAGACCTGGTCAAGCCCATTGGCGACCTTGCCTCATTTGTTCAAAAATGGTCTAGAAACTGCGATAAGCAGCTACATAGGCTTGTTTGCTACATAAACAGCACGGTCAACAGCACGCTAGTAGGCACAGTTCAAGATTCGACTGAGGATTTGCATCTGTCTCTTTATGTGGACGCCGATTTCGCCGGAGAGCGAGATGCAAAATCCACGTCCGGAGGATTCTTGATTTTGAGTGGTCCGCACACGCATTTTCCGCTTGCGTGGGTATCCAAAAGGCAGACATCGGTCTCTCGATCAACGACCGAGGCGGAGATTGTATCTCTCGCATACTCCCTTTATCAGGAAGCGCTCCCTGCGCTAAGCTTGTGGGAGCTGATCTTGGACCGACCATTCCATCTCAAGATCCACGAGGACAACCAGGCGACTATCCTCGTAGCAAGGAAAGGTTTCTCATCCAAGCTACGCTGTGTCCAGCGAACACACAAGGTGAATCTCGCGTGCATCGCAGAGCAGCTTGAAAGCGAACACATCTCGATAGAATACGTCCAAACCGACATGCAGTCAGCGGACATCTTCACGAAAGCACTTCCACCCAACAAGTGGGACCATGCCATCCGGTTGCTCGGCATTCGTGTTGACCTTCCAGAGAAGCTTGAAGACGTTCGTGAAAGTAGAGCCGCTAAAGCAGCTGCCTAGTGCGCTGCAGCATGTCCGCAAAATTTCCAAAAGTGTGCAAAGTGCCTGGGTGATGCTTGAATAACTTGTGTCAGTCGTTGTGATGTAAACTTGACTTCAAGTTGGCGTGGTAATGCGCCCAAGACACTCCCTCAGTGCCGTCAATGAGGGGGGAGTCAATTATCACGATGACATTTATGGCCCAGAGGTACATGAGGTAGGTCCCCATGTAGTCAGTTGCATGTTGTACATTCAAGTCATTGCCAAAGCATGATTCAATCACTGCTTTGGCTCAAGTGCTGAAAACAGCGCGTTGCACCGCGCTAGCCCCAAGGTCAAGGGAGAGGTCGCAGTCACGGAGGGGTTCGTTCCTTTTAAGGTCCCGGGTTCCCCCGTTGTTGACAAAACTGTGTTTCCCTCTCCTTTGAGTAGAAACATATATATATATATATGTACGTGATATGTTGTGTTTGTGTTGTTTAAGCTATCTCTATAACTTGATGGTCTTATGATCGCATCCACGTTTCTGGGCTTCATGAACTGGATGCAGGAGCGGATCATTCTGAACAGCTGGATGGTCTACTTCCAAGAGAGGGCCAACGCCTGCGCGGGGCCCCAGCCCAGTTTCGGTAGCTGATGGCCCCGGTTTCGATGGGGTCAAACTTCAATGACATTTCTTCTGTCACGTGGGTGTGTTTGTTTTCGAGTTTACCTCCTTTTGGGGTGGTGTTAAAGGACAACTGAAGGACACAGGCTCTTTTTTGGGATTTCCTATGTGTGTCTTTTGTTTGAGGGTCCCCGATTTTGGTGGTTTCAACGGAAACCCATTCAGTTTCCCCGAATCCCCTCGAAGATGGGCACTCCCTATGTGTCTATCAAGAGTTGATTTCAGCATATCCATGTTGAACAGAAGTGTGTTGTTTGTTTGCCCTTAATCAACCAAGCAGACTGTTTCAAGTTTCCGTTGTCTGAATAGACCAATCAGCTTGAATGACCGAACTACGGTGTTCGAAAAGGTGTTGGAAGCGCCAGGATGAGCTGTATTCAAACTGATTTTTCACCTGTTGTTGACTGGTGTTTGCGGGCTTCCCCCCTGTGGAGTATGCCTCCTCGTCTCATCGACTATGGGACACGCACTCAGCTTGAGTCCCAGGCGGTTGCAACGACCCCGTGGTGAGGAATGGACATGCAGAAGTGTTGGCCATTCGCAAGCCAGTGAGGTGTGTCCAACGTTGCCCCTGTCTGTGGAACCCGTCCTGTTTCATGTTGCCCAGTTTGGAATGGAATTTGGAATTCAAGCAACTAAGTTTCCTGCTGGTTTCCCATTCCTCACCATCGCTGAGGTTGTTGTTTAATGGTTTCAAAGGGAAACCAAAAGGAAACCTACCACCAGGAGCTCATCTCATGATAAACACCAATATCACAAATCCTAGGAACCAATAACCCGAATTTGCACCTACATCACCTGCCAGCTTCTGGTTTGCGCAAGCCAGGCTTTGGCTGCGGCCTGGTGATCGCAGGTAGCCGCGTGCTCAGAAAAGCAGTCCCGACTGGGCCGGGGGGTGTCAGGTATGGAGGGTTTGGGCGCTAGCCCAAACGTTTTGACCTTTTGGTTTCTCATGTTTAGACATCTTTGAGGGAAAAATGAACCCCAAAAGGCTACGAAACCTGATATTTCTGGGTCCTTGCGACTGAGTTTGGGCATCATGGTTGCAACGCGTGTCTGCAAAGCTTGACCTCCAGCTGCTGTTTTGGGGGAGTTGTCCAAGCAAGTACCTGAAGGGTTGTTTATATTGTTCAACACAGGGTCGTCGTTTTCGAAAGTCGTCTCTGCTGTTGTTGTGTTCCAAGGGAAACCCGCTAAAAAGGGGGTTCCCCTTTTTGATGCATCTGCAAATATGTGCTATCCATGATTTTGTTTGAAGCATATTTGGTGCTGAGATGCGAGGAACTGTGCCGCGGAGCAAACACCTATACTAAATGGATGAGGGTTCTTGGCAGTTCCCAGCTATTCCCTTCGACTTTCATGGACTTAAGCTTATTTTGACATGGATATGTTCCCTTGAACAGATCCTTGAAAAGTACATCATTGGATATACTGAACTTGTTTCTGGTTTCCCTCGCAAGCCATCCTCCTTTCGCTTGGGGCTTGGCGCCACAAGCACCGCTGAGTCACGCTAAGGCTGGGGCGCCTTCTACTTCCACCTCGTGAGGGATCGGGTGGAAGGGGACTGGTTCTCCGACTGGGCGCGGGGCCCTACCGGACGGACGAGCGGAGGACCTGACTGGTCTGTTTGCCACGTCACGACCGGCCAGGAAAATGCCCTTGAAAATTGTTGTTCTGAGATCTCCAGAAAAGATGAGACCAAAATGATTGCTTGAACCTATGGTTGAACCTATGGTTGAACCTATGGTTGAACCTATGGTTGAGCCTCTGCGAAAACACGCGGGGAACTCGCTTCGTTCACCGAGGTGGTGAGAAACCCCATCTTCTTGTGGATTCGAACCACGATGGAGGTGTCCGTAGCCTGGACCTGAGATCGTGTCGCTGGTCGAGTGAAATCCGTAAGGCTTTCAAGTGCGAAGGGTCCAGGTTCAAAACCAAAGACACACATAGTGCCCAGGCAACTTTTGCCGCGCTTCCTTTTGAGCCGCACGCATTGATTGCCAACTTGACGGGTGTGATTCTGGCTGTGGAGGGGAAAGCCGTGTGGTGCGCCTGGTGAGACCACTGACAGCCTTGGAACAGTTTTCTTTTTCGGGATTGGGGAAGTCAGGGGGAGCTGCAACCAGCGCAACAATATCGCGGGCGATCATGGAAGTTGTCTTGAAATAAGATCTCATACTTTCCGAGAAGTGGAGTGGTTGGAACATGGCGCAGCAATGTTTTAAGGAAAACATCCTGGTAGTGTCCAAGTGGATAGGCTGCGTGGCTTCACAGGCTCAAGGCTCAGTCAGAGCCTTGGGGCCTTGCACGGACGGCTCAAATCCGGATTCGCCCCGGATAGGTAGGTCGAGCCCGAAATCGGCTTCTGGATGAAACGAGATTGGCCCCGTTGTTCTTAGCCTGCTCAGCCTTTGCGTGTTAACTCGACCTTCAACTGGGATTGCAAGAAAGTGTATCTTCCTGTCAGCGCAGGTTTGGGACTGAAGCTAAGTTGGATCAGCTTTCTAAGTCGTATTTGCGATGTCCAGCTTCGTCTGGACACCTGTGGTGTTGACCAACTTGGGACCAGGTGAGTGGTCTTCGTGGGAGTTGCTCAAAATGGCGGACCCCCGTTTGGTATTTAGAGGGACATCACAAGGACGCCGTGGCCATTTTGGGGGATCCGAATTTTGAGAAGAACACCCAGGAACCTTTCCCATTCTTTCTAGGCATCCTTTCCAAGAATCCTCACTAAACCCCGGGAAAACGGATCCGGTTTTCAAGAAAAGAACGATGGTTGAAAAGAATGGAATCGGAATCACACCGATCCTTCCCAAAACTCCTCACTAAACCCAGGGAAAACGGCCAGTTTTCGAAAATCACACCCCGGGAAGGGGAGGGGGTGTTGCGAGCGGTGCCACGCGCCAGTTGGGCTGGTTCTCCTCCGTGGCCTTCGGCTCGGCGGGGGGGCCAAAAGAAGCGGCCAGCGGGACGGGGACGGAGGGGGGGGGGGGGGTGAATTTCATCTAGGTCCCCCAGTAGCCCTTTTACCCCTTTTTGAGGCGAAATTCCCCCTACTAAAATAGACTACAGAAAAGAATTGTTCTATCCTCTCTACTCAAAAACCTAGTCATGTCCAGCTTCACACTTGGTGGCTCCCGAAGGCCATCCGGTTCCCTAGCTGTGTAGCCTTTTTAGTTGGTTGAGTGGTTGGGTTTCTATTTAACCCAAAAGTTGAACTTTTAGTGGGGGATTTGAGGACAGCCCAGCACAATGGAATTGGGGAGAGGTAGTTTGACCCATGTGTGACCCATGTGTGCCCTGGACTTCCGTGTGTAATTCATTTTCCCTTCTGAGACTAGGAAATGGAACTGGGGACATATCCTGCACCGATTTGGAACTGGTACCGATTTGGATTTTGACCCATGGCCATATTGTGGATGGACAAAATCCTGCACCACCTAAGAAACCCTCGAATGATGATTGGCCTATAAGTACCAACAAACAGTGGTTTCCCTTGGTTTCAAAGTGGTGCAGGATTTCGTCCATCCACAGTATGTGTGTGTTTTTTTCCAGGGGGCCCAGGCAGAAATGGAAGCTGGTGATTGGAGCCTTCATTTTAAGCAGCAACTTCGATTCGCCAATGACACATCCGGGGATAGCGGGACCATCGGTTCTGTCATGGTCGCAGCAAGAAAAACGGTTGCCGGGGAATCCATTTGAGAGTGAAAAAGCAGCCATGATGCCAAGTTCCGTGTTACACAAGGAACTTATCCTTGCCGCGACTTGGCCATCTCGTTTCCGCAGCTTTTGATGAAGGTCCACAATGGGTGTGTCGGTACCCCTTCTTGTCGTTTTAAAGGGATTCCAAAAGGAAAACACATATATATATATATATATATATACATATATATTGGGGGGGTCTAAAACAAGAGACACACAAAGAATATACTTGTAGGAATATACTTGTAGGAACTGGTTGCCTTTCAGGGCACTTTGGCACAGAATGACTTTCCCCAAAGACTTTCCGGGTCTGGAACCTGCGAAGGTGGGTCCATTTACATGTACGAACTGCACATACTGTGGATGAGCGACATCCGTTCGCACCACTTTTGAAACCATGAGAGAACCCATTGTTGATATTTGCTCGATTTTTTTCGGCGGTGCCTAAATTGCCAATATATGAAATATACTACATGTGCACTACACGGGAAACACACACGCCAATGCTATACGCATGTGCTACACATGTGCTGCTCCTTGTCTGTCTTTGGTTCCATTTGCCAAGGTGCCATTTTGGTCTCCATGTTTCTTACCCACAGCCATATGAGCAGCTCTAAACAGCCCCCTTTACATCCCAAGCAAGAGTTGCGTCATAACAAGGCCCCGCGAAAGCAAAACCCTGCACGGCGTAAGACGGCATAACCACTTTTTGCAGAAGTATGCTGCACAAGCTGCCGTGTAAGCTCTTCCTCGTGATTGCTTGGTAAGCTTTGTAAGCATGTTCTTTCACACATGTCGTATGTGTTTATTGGTGGCTGGTGCTTTTTCAACCTAGTCGAGCTTGGCAACTTGCCCGGAGACTTTGGCTGCAGGAAGACGTCTAAGACCGCATGTGCGCACCATTAGCAAACAAAACCAGCAGAACTTTGATTGGGAGCTCTTGAGGCTCATGGGCTCGGGCGCGTAAGCTCGCGTAAGCAGGTGCGTAGGGTTCGCGTAAGCTCGCCTAGGTCGGCTGCCCGCTAGCCCTCGCCATAGATGCCGCTGCCGCATAAGCTGTTTCTTGTCCTCCAAAAAGAAGAACAACGCCAAGCCGCTGAAACTCCTGAGGCTATTTCTTCGTCATCGCTTTCTCAGAGTTATCCACGTCATCTTGAACAGTTCGGGCGGCTGCATGGGAAAAGGAGCCCGCGTAAGATCGCGTAAGCAATTGTTGAGGGGAAACGCTCAAAACGCCGACGCGTAAGCGATGCAGAAGCTTACATGCTCGCTGACTGCCGCCGAAGCTAAAACATGGGTTGCGTAAGGAAAGCGCAAGCTCGCGCGTAAGCAACCTGATACGACATAGGGATTCATGGGAGGTTTATGGAGTCGCTGATATGAGTACACGTATTGCTGTATTGTGTGGTACGTACTTATTGCCACTGAGTGAGCTATGCGGTTTTCTCGCGTTTCAGCGTTTCCGAGGTCCCGGAATGGGTCGCCACGGCGCGGATCATGTTCACTCTCCAGCCGGAGGGCCTGAAAAATGATGGCTGAGTTGGGGAGGTTGGGGAGTTGGGGAGGTTGGGGAGCTCCTGCTCAACGAGCCATGCTTTACCCTCCGCAACACATCAAGGTGCACTAACACGGAGCGGATAGACCATCGTGCGTTCCCTCCTAGTCTTTTGCTTGAGGCCTGCACATTTATGCGGGGAGGGGAAGGGGGTAAGGAGGGGGTTGCACCCAGTATTTTCTGCTTGGAGCCTTTGCTCCAACCCAGAGGGTGGACGGGTTTTGGCACCAAACTGCTGGCTTCCTCAAGAGGACTGCACCACAAACTGTCAATCGTGTGCTGTAAATTCTGTCAGTTGCTTGGTGCAGGCACCATCCTATCAAAGGATAAGCCCATGATAGGCCGATTCAACCTAAAATGCAGCCATACTTGGTACATGCTTCTCAGCCTTCCCCCCCCCCAAACAAAAGTTGAGTGTCAGTAGTATACAAGCTGCTTGGAAACAACCGCACAATTTGGTCAGGTGATTCTTCAAACCTTCCTAGAGGGATTAGCACAGGGGTCCTTGTATTCCCCTTCTTGGGTGCTTTTAACAACACCCAAATGGGGTCAACGTTGCTTGAGTGTCTCTTGGAGTGACAGAGGATATCAGGGTGTTTCTAAAAATAGTGGTCCCCCATTCCTTTCCTTTTAGCTTCTCATGTATCAACCAAACTGGGGTTCGCCATCATTGGAAGTGATTGTCTCAAAATCGGGAACCCCAAAGTGATCTGTGTTCCTTTGGTTTCCCTTTAGGCCCAGCCAAACCAAACACGAGCCCCGTCTCGCCCCCGTCTCTTTCGGCGCTTGAATCGGGCTAGGTTTCACCACGTGGTGGCCGGCATGGTCGGCCGCAGCGGAGACGTGGGCGCCTGAGAACTCCGTGGGTCTGACCGAGCCAAGTCTGAGGAACCTGCTGGAACGAATCATGTCAAACCCCGGGTCCCTATCAACAAAACCATCCCAAAAAGGTGAACCCCCCCCCCCAAGTAGATGGTTTCATTAGGATTGATCCAAAGGTTAACCCCCCCAAAGGTAACCCCCCCCCCACACACACATTTTCGGATGGATCCAAAGTCCAAAGTTGAGTTTCATGTCGACATCCGCTCAAGTTACGTTATTGGTTCACGCATGGACGCTTTACTGTACAAGTCACTTTTCTGCGCAGGTCTTTCGCCTTGCACTTGCAGATGCGTGTCTTTTTGCGGTCCACTGCATTGCAGAACCGAATATCTTCGTCAAGGTGTAAGGCTGACTCCAGCACCAGAGTTTGAAGATGTGTCCGGAAAACACCAGGCTAGGTCCCCCATTAGTGCCCTTTTTTGGGGAAAGGTTCCCCTACTAAACTGGACTACAAAAAAAATAGGGTACCCTTAATCTAACCTCTCTACTGGAGGACCTAGTAGGGATGTCGCACGCCCGTGGCTGGTTCACCCTTCTTTTCCAAACAAGACGGCCTTCCAATAGCACCAGTGGTCCACGATACCGTCGCCGAGGGTTTTTTGGGGGGAGGGACATGGGGGCGCTTTGCGAAGAGGGCCTGGCATTGGCTCCTGAGTTCCTGGGACCATGTCAGTGGCAAACAAAAATACTATTTGTTGGTTGTTTGCCAATCTGAGGTTTGGATGAGTTCTAGGAGTCCAGTTTCCAGCTTTCTAGGGGTTGATTCCGATTCCATTCTTTTCAACCATCGTTCTTTTCAAGAACCGGATCCGTTTTTCCCGCGTTTCTGGAGGTTATTTAGAAAGATCCGGATCCCTGGAAAGAATGGGGAGGGTACCCCTAGAAGTTTGGGCAGCTTCCAGGGGAATCGTATTTTCCCCGTTGCAGGCAGAGGCAGGAGATGGAAGCCTGTGACCTCCAAGTCGGGACAAACCTGCGGCGGCGCGTGGCGTCGTTTTTCAGCAGCCGCGTTTGGCGACCAAAAGCTTAACCCAAGGAGTTAAAGCAAAGAAGTCCAAAGGAAAGCAAAGGATACCCTCCCTTCCACTAACGTAGCACCTGTAAGAACCCGGAAGATCATTTTCCTCTTGTAGGGCCCCCCTGTCAGGTGCCATGTTAGTTGGAGTGAGGGGTAGCCTTCTCAAGTTCCTCGACTTTCTGGGGTCAACCCACTCGATCGGAAGTGAGTAAATTTCGCGGCACTTGGCTGAGCTAGTGGCAGCCTCCCGGGAAGGTATTCGAAGGAACTCATAACTTTTGTTCGCTTGCGCCAAGCCTCACTTTGTTCGGGCTTCGTGATCTGACCAACAAAAGGTATTGGTGGAAACCTGGAGCCGTACCCTGAAGTGTTCAATCCAAAAACCTGCGTTTGTTCAAACCAAAGCGAGTATTTTGAGTAATGGGAAGCACAGCGGTCCCCGCTTTTGCCGTGGCCACAGACTGGAACGTGGTTTCGACATGCCCAACCCAGGTAGTTGATGGGGTGCCACGAATGGAACAAAAAAGGGTCGGCCTTTTCCTCAGTTTTCGTTTCGGATCCCGGACCGGCATGACAAGCTTGGAGATGGTTTCAGCGGCAACTGTTTTTTGTTGGGGTTCCAAGCCTCACTGTGACCTGCCTGCGAGCATTGGATCCTTTCGTTTTCCCTTTCTTTTCGACCAACTTTTTACCCTGCAACCTGGCGGAAAGTGGCAACTCTGTGTTCCTAAGGCCTGTCTTTATGGTGGCTCCATACAAATCAGAAGGCTTGACGTTTCTCGGTGTGTCTCATAGGTACTTCCTTCTGATGTCCCTTTCAACCAAAGAAAGCACACACTCTCCGCAGACACCCCGGCCAAGCGCAAGTGTGGCTCGTGTCTCACGGAATCAGATCCCTTGGCGGCCAAAAATCCGGCCTGGGGCCACGGCGTTCTTTGCAATGTGTTCACCTGGTTGCTTTTTAGCTCGATTCTCTTCTTTTCCTTTTGAGAAGAACTCTTTCCCTACTCGCTTTCAAACAGTCTATCTGTTCGGGGGTCATTTGACCCAACCCAAAAAAAATACGAAGCTCGCAGGAATGGCAGGGCTCACTTGTGTGTTTCAACCTAGGGCCTTGATCGGGCGGGGGGAACCTGTCACTGCCTCAAACCCTTCCTGGTGGTTTCCTTTAGGAGATCCCCTTCAGGTTCATTCCCGAATGCCGTTGACGCCAGCCTGACACAACACAGGCGACCTCATCGACCGGGGGGCTTAAGACCGTCCTCACTGAGTTTGTTTTTGCAGGGGATCCATGTTTGTCGGGTTGTTGAATTGTTGTCAGTTGCCTGCCTGAAGGACATCCTTTCACAGAGAGGCAAGCGAGTGCGGTTGGGGAATTCTATGATGATTCACCCAGACAAAGCAATTTGACCCACAGTTGGTTGATTGCCTAACATGCCAGAACCATCCACGTCCAACTGCAGGTTTCCCTTGCTTCCCACTTGCAAAACAGTCTTGATCCTCGTTTTCTGAGGATCACAACTTAGGGTGTTGAGGGAGACCAAAAGGAAGGTACAGCAGTTCCCTGCCGAATCTGCAGCCCTTAGTTGGCATTGGGAAGGCCTTGGGAACTGGCCCAAAGCGATCGATCGCGCTAGCGCCACGCTTTGACGCCTGGGCAGCGCAAGGAAGGGGGAGAAAAGGGAGCGCTCTAGGGCTGGGCACGGCGAAAGGTTTGGTGGGTACGCAAACGAGTTTGTCTGCAAGCAACAAATTGGATATGGTTGGCTTCGGTGATGTGTGTATATATATATATATGTATAAGTCCAGATCTCTGCATGTTGCTGGGATTTGCTGGAAGGAGTTTAGAACCCCGGGTCTAGGGAGTCTCACTCATTGATTTCCTGCACTTTCATACTTTCAGGACCATCTTAGCGGCAATTTGATTCAGAAGTTTGGACGCTTTGGCCCATAGGAAGTGAGAGTTAGATTGAATTTCGGCCTAAGGATTCCCTTTAAGAGCACCACAATACAGATATCCTCCAAACAAAACACTTGTGACACGCGTTTGTAAGAATTTCATACCCCTGGCAATATCGTAAGAAAGTTTCAGCCTACACGCAGCCCACCTAAACTGCTCTCTATCCGAGCTTAGTACTTGCTATTCGGGGCATTCTTCCAAGGCGAGTGCAACCCCTAGTCTGGTGAGATTGAGTCCGTCCTTTTATCAACGCGGTTTCCTCTCCACAGGTTGAGGCCCAAGGAACCATTCGAGTTCGTTGCTTTTGTTTCCCATGTTTTAAGCTGGCCTTGTTGGTTCCATATCAGCCCTGGACAACATTGTGGCTGATTGGATGGCTCATGTCGGATAAATGCCATCCGAGTTTACTTTTTCTCTTAGCATCCGTCACTTCAGTCGATCGCTACCGATCATTCGCGTAACTCAGATTGTCAGCCCACTAGCACAGGGATTTTCATGTGTCTCAAAATAGGGAACCCCCAAAATGGTGTTTTCTGTTTGTGTCCCTTTAAACCACGCCCAAAAGGGTACCCCAACAAAAGACACCCATTTCTGTTCAGGGAGCCATGGGGAGATTTGACATCTACAAAAGGCCGGGATTCCAGACTTCTTATCACCTTTTTGTGATCATTTTTTAGTGAGTGTCCGAAACTGATGTGGTCCTGAGTTCCTGGACTTCATACTTTTGGGGAAGACCATATCAGTCGCAAGCAACAATTTGACATTGTAGAACCTTCTTTTTACAGGGGTTAACAACCAACCATAAACCAAAAATAGCAAGAGCATCAAGCAACAGGATTGTAGGGCTTGGAAAACGAGCGTTTCAGTGGCACACTCTACCCACCTCTTTGGTGGGATCCCCCACATGTCAAACCTAAGGCTGCTTTCCAAGTCGCGACTTGGTCCAATCCACCGTGATGTCCTTACGTGGCCCAGGCCCAAAGCAGGCAGTGGCCGGTTGTGCACCACACATCGCGGGGGTTGAAGTGGGCTTCCCTTGACACCCAAGATAAACTCCAAGATGGGACCTGAGAGGAATGTTCAAGCCATGGGTTTGCTTGCAAAAGGAGAAGAGTCAGCATAGTGAGCCAAAAAGCCACAGCTGCATGGCACAGCGGTACCCAGACATCAGCAAAAAGAGCCTTTGTCCGCCTCTTTCCGCCTCGCCGGATCTTCACATCGCCTTTGCGGTGGAAGCCTGGACGATGAACTTCAAGGACATTCCCATCAAGCGTCTTTTCAGCAGATGGCAACCTTTGGATTCGGATGGAGAGTAGAGAAACCAAAAGCAAGCCAAACAAGACACCCTTTACGGGAATTGATACACATGGCCTTGTCAAAAAGACGGCCAAGGGTCATTTGAGGTGTTGGAGGTTATTCAAGTTCGTTGGCCCCCCACCGAAATCTATGAATCTGCATGGCGCTAGGTTCGAGCTAGAATTGTATGGTTGCAATTCCAGCTGCGGGTGTGGGATTTGGTTTCACCAAGTTCCTTGCTAGCCTCACGCTGGGCTAGCTCATAGCCCTCACCATGACTGACCGGACAGTGTTCCCGTTTTGCCTCGGGATTTCCTGTGATTTCAATTGCACGACTGGCAGCCCAAGTCCCCAAAGACATGTGATTCATGTGATGCGCTTATTGGTCACTCAAACAAAAGCAAGCGAGCCTCCAACAGGATTGAGCTACGTCCCGTTTCGGAGAGAGACAGAGAGAGAGAGAGGAATGCGATGCTCGTATAAACAATGTGTGGGCAATGCTAAGCGACAGAACATGGCTGGTTTCTTCTTTGGGATAGGTTTCAAGGGAAACGCTTGCTTGTTTTTCACCTGGCATTACTGCGCATGGCTCATGAGAGGATGGATTTGGCAACACACCATTTCAGAGTGGCTGAAGCCACTCAAGCTGTTGCTCTCCATAGAGTGGATGCACTACCCAGTGGGATTCCCGAAGCAAAGGAACATTTATGGGTTTGAACCCCCCGCACCCCGACAGTAGTTTGTCGCTGTATCAACCCGAGGTGTAAAACTGGGTAGGAAACCAAGAAGAAACCATTTGCAAGATCCCCACGGCGTTTGACATGATTTGACAGCCACGTGTCCAGTTGTTTCAAGGGCTAGAGAGCCCGCCCAGCGCGCGCCTTTTTGTAATCTTTGTGTTGTTTGACCAGGTGATTTAGTTTCCCTGTAAAGGCAACGAGTGGAACCACCATTCTAAAAGGCAAATGGATCTGATTGCCTACCATGATTCGGTTCCATTGGACCGTTCGGCTCCCCCAGACATGAAGCATGCCCATTGTGCATGTGTTCGTTCCTACCATTTGTGTTCGTTCCTACCAAGGTTAGTACTAAAAGGGAATCTATCACTACTGGATCTATTTATGTTTTTTTCCAGGCGGCTTAAGCAAATGGAGGGTTCCCAGGTGCAAGCTGTTTGTCATGACCTTCTGCATATTGTGTGTGTGCTTTGGATCGAGCATACCCAACCTCTCTAGGCGAATGAGGCTGCTCTTTTCACAGGGAGTCCCAAACAATGCAGGGTGAGAATCCTGTCAACCTGGATGAATGGGGGTGCTCCCCAAAGTGAAGCGGCCCTGGCTAAGCATGGGACACCTTCCTGTGAAGCAGCTGGGGTTTATTAATCCTGCGTTCTCATTAGATGTGTATGTCTTCAAGGCACATTCCTGGCTTTCCATTTCTGTCCGGTTTAGCTTGGCTCATGGAAGCCGGGACAGCTGCAAGCAAGTGAGCGAAGTAACCACCAGAGCCTCTTGCTTTGGGCAAGCTTGCAGAATTTCCAGCGGGCTTCTTAGGTGGACGAATCGGTTTTCACCAAATTGGGCGCATCCGAGCTGGACAAATTGTCAAGTGTATAAATCGGGTGACCCCGAAAATGGGTGGGCTTTCCTTCTTGAATTGACATGGGCTCCCTTCGTTTCACCCTCCAACCATGTTTTTTAACCCTTCCTTTTTTAAACCCAAGGTTTGGAGGGTGACAAAAGGGGTTCTCCAATTGAAATCGACCCAGAAAATGTCGACACCCAACCCATTACCCAGCCCGAGGAATCCTCACACGCATTCCACGCACTTCGGCCCCGGATCGCAATGGGGCAAGCCGCGCCCTGGATCGCAACGGTTTTTCAGCTGGCGACTGGGTGCTGGGTTTCTTTGTAGGTCTGACTGGTAGACATACTGTGGATGGACAAAATCCTTCATCAGTTGGTAGGTGGTTTATCCCAGTATTTATGGGGGTTCATCTATCCCAAGTGGTGGAGGATTTCGTCCATCAACAGTATTGTTCCTTGCTTTTGTGCTCCAGCGTCGTCTTATTTTGAATCCCAAAAAGGAAGGAACGCCAAGACGATTTGGAAAAATGGTACCTTTTGGGGCAGTTCGAAAGTCACATTTTGCTGAGGGGTATCCTTTTTCATGACGTGTGAAAGGCATCTTTGATTACGGGCACACTTTTTGGTTGTTTGACCTTTCATTGATGGGTAGGTACCCTTTTTGCGGGGGTTGTTTGGGAAAAAAGTAGACCAAAGGGACATTTGATAGCCTTTGAAGCATGAGGCCGGGCTCTTAAGCGGCAATCTGCAAGGACCCCTAACCCTTCCTAAAGAGTTCTCCACTCGCGCACTTTCAGACAAATTTTCAGGGATGCTTTTGAGAAAGTTCCAAACAGCCAGGAGGGTTGGCCTGTTTTTGAAAAGAAGGAAGGTGAAATAATGAGCAATTGAGCCCCAGAGAAAGAGCTCTGACTCAGGTCTCCCGTGCAGGCTAGTTTTAGCATGACATGTTGGCAATATCATTAGCAGGCTTGAAACAGCCAAAGTGCTGCACATCTGATTTTGCGCCCATATATCTGCAGGGTCAAAAGTAGGCGCAATCCCTTGTGGATATGGGGATGTCGAGTGACCAAATTGGGCTTTCCCTGGCATGAACCTGGGAGGAACCTTTGTACTTGGGTGTTCGACCAAGTTAGCAAGTTGTTGGCCTCCTAGGCAACAGCCCCGTTACCAGTCCCCCTAAACTGGGGTCGTCAACGTTGTCATAAGGGGGGTATACCCCAACTGGCGATCACCACTTACTAACGAACATCCAAGTATGTTGTATATAAGGGCCCTAAGGCTCCCGATGATTTTTGGGCCCTCAAGATGGGTTGTTTTCAAGGTCCGGGTTCTTCATTGGAGGGCCCGGGGGGGCTGTATTGGAGGGGGCATGCGCCTTGGGGGGCAAGCCATATGGGGCGCACGCGCGAGGCCAGCTCTCTGTCAATTAAATCCCATGCCCCATGGCGAATTTGTGCTAAGACAAGAGTAATCCAGTTGCCCAGTGGTACCCTTTTTCCCTTTTTTTGGGGAAGGGTTCCCCTTTAAAGTCAAGCAACCAAAAAAGGATGCCCTTTTTCCCATGGCCACTGGGCATCTGAGGTAATAGGGCGGTTTTGTCCTTGGGTGTTGAAATCCGCAGGAAAGGCCTGCCCCATGCCCTTATGGCGGACAATGTAAGGCCAGTGCTGCTTGTTATATGCGTTATCGGTCGTGCCACACCAACTTGTTTGTTGAGATGCTTGCAAGAATGTCCAAGTTGGATCGATCTGAACACCGTGCGAATCGCTGGAACTCCAAGCAAGAGGGACGTCGCCTCTCATTCATTTGCAGAGGGTACATCACGCAAAGTGGACAGTATCCTGAAGCGGTGCTCTCCAAATCCAGCCCAAACACACCCACTGCCGGACTCGAGCATCGGTCACTCGATCGGCCGAGGTTTTATCCCATGGGCCAGGAGTGCGAAAAGATCAACGTGCCGAAGAGCACAGGCCCCGTCTCAACCACGCGAATCGGGCGATGGGTTTTTCGTAGGATGCCGAAAACGGACACCGCGATCCAAAGTGTTCATTTCAGTTTGGTTGTTTTCTGGCAGCCTGTGCGCAAAGGCTTTATCATGCTGTAGGAGAATTCCCTCACGCTGGTTTAGTCATTTGGCTTAATGATCCAACAAACAAGATTTGAATTTGCCGCAGACCTTGCTCGGACAAGAGAAGATATCCTGGCCTCTCGAATTTCGATGACTCGCGCCCGCCTACCACAACTTGGACTTGAGGTCCAACAAAACCTGGGCGTATTTTTAGGTGTTGGTTCTCTGAGGGCAGGTGGGACCAAGATTAACCCGCAAGCAGATGGCTGTGGGTCAAAAAAATGCAGACCAAAATGGACACCTGCATGGAGCTAAAGACTAAGACCTGCGTAACCCTAGCTGTTCAATTTTGAGCCACCCCCAGATTGAGTTTGGATCCTCCAGTTTCCTGACTCATTCTGAGCTGCAATGGGTTGAATTCCGATCTTCAGGCTCATGCCTTTGGACAGACTTCTCACTTAGATGTTGGCTCCCGTCTTTCTTTTTGTAGTGGCCGTTTGAAAGTTTGATCTCCCAGCGATTGCAAGTTTGAGCTGTCCCCAATATCCCTTGTGGTTCCCTGAAGTTTACCTTAAGTAAAGGGGCCATCGTGTAACTTCGGTTCTTACGGAGGACACTCGCACTTTGCCTGCTCGCCTTGAAACAAAATGGAACACGTTGCCTTTCAACAGCCCCGAGATCGTGGGTTCGTGGTTTGCTGACCCAAAAACATACTCAGAAAAGGGGTATACCACCTTTTTGGTATATGCTCATAGTAAAAGGGGTCCTCAATGTCAAGGGTATATGCTCAAATACACCCCTTCACATTGACCCTTGACATCCTGACATATGCCCACTAAACTCCTTGCCTATGTGCATTGCATTATATAGGGGAACCCTAGGGTTCAACCCCAATCGAAAGAATGGTTGACTCAATCTTGAGGACTCTCCTTAGGCAAATCATAGTGGTTGTATAAACCCCCCCCGTCTGTCTCAATGGTGGTTGGAACCGAAGCAAAACCTCAACCCGCAGGGCCAGGTTCCGGGCGGGCCACACCCACCCGCGTCACCGCGGCGTGAGGATCCAACCCGCTGAGCCTCAGCCGGACCGCCAGCTGGCAGTGTGTGCCCAACACCCGGCACGAGCGCACGGTGCGGGTGCTGCACGCAGCACGGCCGCCATGGGTCGGTGAGTTCGGTGAGTTCGGTGGCTAGCTGATTGCCTGAGTTCCGTTTCGGGACTTTGGTGACTTTTTGGGTTTGGGCCAATTTGGTGGTTAACAGAAAGTTTCGACTTTGTGTTGGCCAAACCACTCGGGAAGTGAGAAAGAGTTGATCTGAGTTTTGTGCCAACTGTAGCTGTTGTAAGGCTAACTTGCTTCTTTGTTTGTCCCGAGTTGCTGTTTTTCCCCATCAGTGGCTGTTTTAGAGAGTCTCAACAAATTTGACCCAGGATGAATCAAGATTCAGAGGGGATTTGGATTTTTTCCCCCAACAGGCTTAAAGCTTTGGGGTCTCAGCCCAGATAGGCTCCGGGGTGGCCCGGGGCGGCTCTGAGGTAAGGTTGCGCAGGGAGGCCCATGAAATAAATCTGGCTTGTGTCGAAGTCGTGACTCTGGAAGATTTACAGAGTTTGCTACAAGTTTCAGAACCCATGAACAAACCATTCACAAACGTCTTTTCACAGGAGGCCAGTGACAATGCAATGAGATAGAATGGTTCAGATCCTAACGGGAAGCATGTGTTGTCGACAGGGGCAAACCATGTTGATCAAATTGTTGAGCGGCACTCTTTGTTACTTAAGGCAGATAAGGTTTGGGGGTGGCTTGGGGGAGCTCTGGAGTCAGGTTCGAGCAAGGTTCCGGAGGTGGCTGGTTTGTTCCAAGGTGCCGGCGGTTCAATTCCGGAGCTTCCGGGATCTGGCGCAGGCCACCTGAAGGTAGGAATGTTCCGGTTTGGTCTAAGGAAGGTTCCGGACTCCCGGCTGGTTTCCTTTGCTTTCCTGGTCTCAAGCTTGTACTGTAGCCGCTTCTGTAAAACGTCGCCCAGGACCCACCCTCGGCGCGGTCCGCCGTGGTGTCCCACAACCCGGACGGCCTGTTTATGGACTCCCACTCTCACTACACCAAGGCCAGACACCGCCGGAAAACCGCGGAACTCTTGCCGCCAAACGTTTTGTGCGGCCGCTGAGGGGGCCACAAGGGCAGGATCAGACACGGACTTTTGAGACTTCCATTCGACATTGGATCCGGAAGCCATGGGAAGGTCGAGTGAAACAAAGTGGCGTAGAGGGGTGCAGAGGGCGAATAAATTCCCACCGAAGCAAAGTTTGCCTTTTGGCAAGCACTGACTGACTGATGAGACATGTTGGTTGAAGCTGAACAACATGGATGTCCTTTGAGGTCATTTGGGTTGAACACGGATGGCAGGCACTGTTGTTTTGTATTCCTTTTTTTTGTGTGGTTCTTATTTGCCAGTGCCATCGATGTTGTCAAAAGGACGCACACACTGCGCAAAAAGGTTGATTCGTGCAAAGTCCTTGCCCGCAAACGGCCTCTCCAGAATGCTCTCAAGCTCATGCTCCCATGGGCGGGAAGAGGCCTTTTTCGGGGGTTCGCCCCGTTTTTGTCCCAGTCTCGGTTGTCTTTTCGGGTTTTCGGGGAGGGGGGGGACTGCCAAAAAAGGGGGGGTCCTTTTTTCAACCAAGAGCAAGATGTGTGTTGCTCTCGCGGGCGAAACTGAGGGAGGGGCCCTATGATATTTGGAGGTTTCTCAACTCCAGCGTTTTGGAGTGGGTAAAAACAATTCTTGCTTGTTCGGGAATAGCTTCACAAGCAAGGCTCACAGCACGAGGCTACACCATAGATCTCACTGGCGAGCAAGTGTCACATACAAGATCCTCGAATCCAGTCAGTCTAGCACTTGGTTTCTTTGGTTTGTCAACAGCCTGCGATTTTCAACCGAACACCCTCCCCGCAACCCGCCTCTCCCCCCCTTCCAAAGAAGACCCTGAGGCCTGGTGAGTGAGCAAAAGGCGACCGGACCTTTCGACTCAGGTGGGCTCCAAGCATCTCTGTGACCCGCGCCCGGATCATCCCCATGCGCTGGCGAGGCGACTTCGGCGGTTTTTGTGTATATAAGGCACACAGCGGTTTCAGTGTTTTCCTTAGGCTTCCAAAGGCCATTACAGTGTATAGTCGAGGAAGCATAGGGTTTTTGTGTGTCATTGGATTTTTTGCAATCAACTTTTTTGTGGGTGTTGAAAGAAGACGCGAAAGGGATAAGGTAGTTATAGGGAATGAACCGCTTTTCAAGTTGGAATCCCCGTGATGATATCTTAGTGGTGGTCAGGGGCATGAGAATGAACCACTTTAACGAATTCCACATCTTCCTTTGATTGAATTTGATCTAGCCCTAAGCCACAAAAAGGATTTGCGCCATTCTGCGCAGCTGGCTTTTAAGGACATTTGCAAAGCCAAACCTCAACCACACCAGGCCGCAACATGCTGGTGACAGGCTGCTTTGTCCGGCACCGCTGAGCTTTGTGCTAGGTGCGTTGTGCTTGACCAGTTGAGTTCGCAGCTATGGTCACCTACCTTGGAATCCATGTCTATCCAAGAAGCGTGATTCCCTAGAAATCGGTTCGCCTTGAAAAAGACGTTTTGAACCGCTGTTATTCTATTCAAACAACTTCTTTCTTCATGTAACCTTTATGGGTGGTTTGGATTGGTGATTTGAAGCCCTGGCTCTTGAGGATTTATGGGAAGCGCCCCTAACCTCCAAGCCACTGGGCCAGTAAACACGTTTGCTGGTGCTCAGAAAATGAGAGATGCATAGAAATGGAATGACCCGAAGAAAAACCATCCAACTGGTGGTTTCTTTTATTCGGGAATCCCCAAGGGTTCATTCCATGTCGCATTCCCTTATCGCACCAGCAAGTTGTCGGCCAGGAACATCAGCGTGCCCTCGCTGCATCCCTACAACGAGCGGAGGGCCTTGTTGCGAGACCCCACGCCGTGGCACTTCAACGAGAACTTCAGCACGTCCAACGACTCCTACGGCACCTCGGCCAGCATTCGCGTCTCTCAGGTCAAAGAAGTCCTGTTGGACGGAGAGCGTCCTGTCTCAGTTTCTTTGAAAGACGAATTCCATTGGTTTGGGTTTGGCTCCGATCGTTTACCACTGCCATCTGCAACAATATGTCCAAAGGCACACCTAGGATTGTGGCAGGCTTGTGGTCCAAAGTCTCAAAGAGTTTCTTTTTGCTACCCTAGCCACTGGGTTACAGTTCCACGGATCCGTTTCGCGCTTGGAACGGCGCGCACGTGAATGGAACTGTTTGCCTGGTCAGTGTTTTCGTCTGCGCCCTCGCAGGCTTCGTGGTTCCCAGCAATGTCCTCAAGAGAAGACACGTTGGTGAGGAGTCCTTTGGCAAGCTGACAAATGTTCTTTGTCTTCCATTTGCTTAAGAATATGTGTTATTTTTCCATATTTTCCCTTGTTGGTTTCAAAGGGAATCTATCACTACTGGAAATATGTTTGTATTTGTTTCCAGAGGTCTTAACCAAAGGCTTTTTTGTTCTTTATGCATCAAGGCCGAGCTGTGGGAGAAGTTTTTCGGCAGTCCACGGGGCCTGTGCGTTTGACAATCGGTGTTTCCCAATGCGCCAAAAAGGCTCGATTGATTTGTCATCGCTGAAGAAGGACGTATTCCAAGTTGGCATATGTTGACATACAACGTCTCTGCTTGTTCTAAGAGCGGTGCGTTTTGCCTGGTTTGGACCCCTGAATTCCGACAGCTCAAATGGCCGATTGACTTTGCACAGGATGCGGCAGTTCCATTGATGATTTCATCTGCATCTCAAGCCAGCCTGGGTATGACACGGAAGGGATGGTGGAATCATGGCATATCCCACCACCGGGTGCCAATCAAGCTTGTTTGAACGTATGCTTGAACCGACTTGCTTCGTTGTCAAGAGGACAACATCATTCAACAGAAAGCCTTGCAGAACGTTTGGCATCCTAGCCTGAAGATTCAACCCTTATGCAATAGAGTCTAGCTAGCATTGACACATTTTGCAGAAGCTTCTGTATGTCATTTGAGCCGTGCAAGGCAAGTTTCCAAGGAGTTTATCAGAGCTTTCTTGTGTGGCAAGCTTATGCCGGGATGTGTCAAAACTGGGACCTCCCTCAAAATGATGTCATTTGTCGAACCTGTTGAAATACTTCCCCAAAAGATCCCTAGTTTCACGTGTAAAACTGCTCGTACCACTGCGTTTGTTGGGGGGATTTCCCCTTTGCGCAGTACCGAAGACCCAGGGAAGACCGGCAACGCATATTTTTTTTGTGCCAGGCTTGTTCTACAGCAGCCACCTTATCAAGGAGCCCACCGCCGCTTGCACTGATGGCTGTTGCAAAGTGGGTCTCGGTTTTAGCCCAGTTGGGGTTTAACTTTGAGGTATGTAGAAAAAATGTTGAACCCAGTTTATGAATAGGGGTGTGGTCCCTCCAAAAATGATGATTCCCCACTAAAGCCAAAAAACGCCCCTTTATGTATAATGGTGAACCTTTTTGTTGCGTGGTGTTTCCAGGGAAACCCAAAGGGCACAAGCCAAGAAAATGGGTTCCCATTTGAGAAACACCAAGTTGAGCACAAAGCTTTGGGGTCAAAGCCGACTGGGCATGATCAGATCTCGGCTCACCATAGAAATGTGAAGCAGATGCTATTCACATTCCCACCGTAAATGGGTTGAACCACTATTTTTTGAACACCATCCTTTTGGATTCCCTTTAAAGGAACCAGGGGTTGCTCAAACGCATGCCCAAAGTGTACACATTGGTTCAGCTTTTGAGAAGTGTTGGCGAGAATCTGCCTAGAATGCTAGTTGGGAGCATCCCTTGCTCATGTGTAGCGCGACGGATAGAGGCAGAGAGACAAAGAAAGAGAGGCAGAGAGACGCGATCGCCAGGGTGCACCTGCATAATACTCTCAGAGAAAGACGAGTCGATGATTCATTGCTCAGGTGCATCGGCGGAACAATTTCGATTGGCTGACCACAAAGCAC